ATACAAGTGTTTTTATTATTATTTTTTTCCTAAATGTACATTGTTTTTCTGTTTTTGTTCATTTTATACATATTTTTGGTTGATTTTTCTTTGTTAAATGGCATTTAAATATATAAAATAAATATCAAAAATGTAAATCTTTGTTTTACTATGGTTGCAAATATAAAATAAATTTCTATATGTGACACAGCACATATAGTTAAGTTAGGGTTTTTCAAAATGCTGACATGCCGAGCTCAAGAGGTTCGCCATCACTGGTCTAGTGTGTGGGATCTGGGGTCAGAGCTGATAGGTTCATAGCCTGACTGCCTTGCTCCAGCTGGGTTAACTGAGGCAAGTTACGCGCCTGTCAGTTCCTGCTTCCCTTTTTCTAAGGTGAGATAGCAATAATCGCTGTCTCACAGGCGATTATTTGAGGCCTAAAGGCATTGATCCAGGTAGAGTCTTTGGAACAAACACACCCTGGTAGGCGGTCAGCAGTCAGTAGACGTTATCATATTACCATCAAGGAGCACAGAATCTAATTAAGAGGTGTTGGAGTCATATCTTTGTTCTAAATTATGACAAAAAGAAATTCTTAGACTCCCACTTTTGTCGTGTATAGTATTCTATCTGCTTGGAAACAGTTCACATTTCTTACGATGAATCCCTTTTCTCCGACTGTAATTCTCCACCGTACCTGGGTAATCCCGCTGGCTTTCTTAGCTCTAGTAAGACTCCTGCATGAGATCTCTCCCCTGAAATCTGCCTAGTTCTACAAGCAAGCACATGGTTTTGGAGATAACTATTCAGTATAGTGGCAAAGTGTTCGCTTTCCCATTAAGATTCCTTACAAATCTAACTACAACTCTAGCTGAGATGCTGAGAGGAGAAAGTAGAGAGGGAACAAGAGCTTCTCATATATTCTCATATGTGTATATGAGGATACTTTTTTTATTGCTTAAAATATTACAAAAAGTACTACATTTGTCTCCTTTTTTCCCCCTTGATCTTCCCCCAGCCTCCCCTCCCCCCACTCCCCAGTGTTTTGTGTCCATTGGTTATGCTTATATGCATGCATACAAGTCCTTTGGTTGATCTCTTACCCCCTCCAACCTTCCCCAGCCTTCCTGCTATAGTTTGACAGTCTGTTTAATGCTGTTCTGCCTCTGTATCTATTTTTGTCCATCAGATGAGAATACTTTTGATAATTAATCCAGAAATGAAAAAACTACACAAATTAAAATACAAAGGAGGAGCCACTATTGAAAAAGGCACCAGGACTCGTAATATTCAACTGAGTTCTATCTAACTTTTAAAAAATAGGTAACTCTAATGTTATTAAATCAATTCAGGCCTTTGAAATATATGATAATGTTCCCAATTTGTTTTATGAAACCAGTCCTGCTTTAATATCAAAATCCAATAAAGATATATGAAACAATAATCAAAATATGTAAATGAATACAGGGCAGCCAAGCAAAAATGTGTGTGTGTAGGGGAGAAGATTGTAATAAAAAATAGGAACTTATGTGTACTCCAGGATCACATTTATGCAATTACACAAAAATTATGTACGTACATATGTAAATAATAAATTATTCAATGCATCAATTATCAATAGATAACACTTTTATAAAGTCTGTCACAGTCAACACAGACACATGTACCAGCACATACACAAAACATACATACACACAAAAGGCAAATGTAAGGCTTTTCACTGCATTTAAGGGCCAATGGTATGATCCTAGGCCAAACTCTGAACTCTTAATGTATTCCTGAAGGTTATCATTTGCAACCCCAACCTTGCACCATCGACAATGTGGCTCACAACAGGCAGGGACCTTCTCATTCATTTTGTATCTCACAGGGTA